GCCCACAAAGCGTCCAGTTTTACCAATCTTAAACTTGCCGAATCAGCTAATAGATAAAAAGATATCTAGTTCCACTAGCCTGAAGATTTATACTCGCAACGTATTGTAGTATAAACTCGACTAATATCTGAACGTTAGCTAAAAACATGCAGAACCCGCATCTCTGCGTGATTATCAAAGACTTTCTCAAATCTTTGTGCWTCATCTAAGCCGTATTTCAGATCCGCCCATCTTTGGATCAAGGATCTAATATTAACACTTCAAAGTGATCAGCTTATCTGCGTGGAGCTTAAGTCCCGACCTAAATGACCAAGCTTAAGAATCAATAAAAAAATGGCAACACCCAAGTGTGCCTGTAAATTCTTAAGCTTGACTCACACCCACACCCAAAGGGGTGCTTAGCTCATAGGAAAATTATAAGACATAAAGGAAACAGAAGAAAAAAAATGCTTAAGAAATACTTGAAATGAAAATAATACTTAAACTGTTGCCCACAGAGGGCATACAATACACAGTGGCGAGAATTAAATACTAAGTACAAAAATAAAATTACAAGCAGAAATTAAACTTGCTCTATTGTTGTAGAGCTTGAGAGAATGCTCCAAGGTTGCTTAGCTAAATTGTTGATRGAGTGGATGTCTTCCAAATGAGAGAAAAGCTTCAATATATAGCGAAAAGTGAGGACCGGACAAACTCTTCGCCTAAAGGAAGAAAATCTTCAACGTCTAGAGGGTAAGGACCTCCCATCAACACATGTCTACTCCTTTTCTGGCCTTGTCACTTTATCTTGAAAGGTTGCAAAAGATAAAGTACCTAACCATTAAAATAATGAAAAGCTAGAGAAGACTTTTTCATTAAAATAATGGTAGAAGTACTTTATTGTCATTTTATAACTCAACCAGGCCCATTCTTCCAAGTAACTCAATATTTTGATCTGAACTCAGAATTAGATCCCACTAATACTCAAGAGAGTTCATATTGTTCAAATCCAACTTGATGAAAATACGCCATAGTATGAATGCGAGCAGAAAGTGGGCAGTTTACCAACTTTTAGAAAATAATATAATTCTTGACCTTTCATCACCTCTTAACATATTTTGGACCAAAAATACATGATAAGAGAAAAATGGGTACCAACGACACAATAAAAGAGGGGTATCGAACAACAAATAACTCTCACAAATTGAGAGTTATCACTGCTTCTAAACAGTTTTGAAAGAAATATTTTATGTTTCAAAGATTGGAATCTGTTTTGAAAAGATTAAGCCAAAACTGTTCTTTAGAAACAGTACCCTGTTTTGGGAAGAACTAGATGAGTTGAACAATCATATCTAGAACAGAGTGTTTTTATGATTTGGAAGGTTTGAATATAAACCTATTTTGAGATTATGATTGGTTAAAAACTATGAACGAGGTTCACTCTGACAGAAAGGTTTGCAGCCTGTCATTGGATGAAATAGTTCATACAAATTTCAGGGGAAATAAGGATGGTCGTTGTGTGTGATGGATAGCTATTGCTATAAACAGGGGATTTATGGATGTAATAAGGATGGTCGTTGTGTGTGTGTATGGTATAACTATTGCTATTATATCTTCTAAGATCACAACAGATTGGAGTTCTCACTTCTTTGTGATTTAAGGATTCAGAGATGTTGTTCTTATTTAAAATAATAGTATTGATGTTATGGTTATGGAAAAATATGACCTATGGTCATTAAATTTTGGGTAAAAGCATTTTGGAACAGAATGTTCATTTTTATGAGGAACCAGAGGAGCTCTGGTTGATCCTTACTATTGGACCAGAGGGTTCTGGTTATTTGATTTAAGAAGTATGCTTGTTCTTAATAAACTAATTGGACCAGAGGCTCTGTATCTATTGATAAGAGCTTCTGTGTCAAAGTCGTATTTCAATAAGTTTTAAAGAAAAATGATTTTATACTTAGTATTTTTTTACTAAAAATAGACCAAAGGGGCTCTAGTCAAGTCACACGTTGAACCAGAGGCTCTGGTTGGTCATAACTTTTGAACCAGAAGCTCTAGTTAGTACAGCCAGAGGCTCTGGTCGAGTAAGAACTCTGTATAACTATTCTTTTTTTTTTTTATGAAAAAGGCTATCTTATTGGTTGGAAGCTTAACTAAGGAACATTATAAGAAATTATATGAACAAGAAGCTCTGGTTAGTACAACCAGAGGCTCTGGTCGAGGAACCAAGAAGCCTTAATAAAAGGACCAGAGGGGCTCTGGTCCTGTTTATTGAAATATATTCCAAAGTATGGTTTTAGAACCAGAGGCCCGATGGACCGAAACAGAATAAGATTTTCAGCCTTCATTGCATGGAATAAAATATTTTGAAATAAATGTTTTTGTGATCTTCACCCTGCATTACATAAAAGGGAACCTCACTAGACATTCATGTCTAACCCTCATTTTGTGTTTTCAAAAATATGTGTGCAGGTAATGATAATAAGGGAAAAAGCATTATGTGAATTACTTCTCTATGTGTTTAGCTACATGAAGATCTTGATTAGCCATATTTTGGAGTATAGATGTTAGAACACAAGAACATGTACTTTTGGAATTTTTGAGTTATGTAAATTACATTATAGACTCTTGTATTATGGACCTAAGTGGAAAACATGTGTTCTATATATATGAAATATGTGTTATATGCAATGTATGGATGTGGGGGTGTTACATATATTCTGAATATGTGTATGTATAGATGCATATCTACCATGAATTAGAGTAGTCTAAGTGAAACAAAACTTCATTTTGATAGTCTTTAAATGCTTTTAATTTTTAATTTCCAGTTTACAAACTTCCACATTAAACTAATTGTGAAGGTTTCTTTGATTTCACGTGGGGACCAACTTACCTTTTATGTATTGTTCCTTATTTAATGAAATTTTATACCAAGTCAGCATGCCAGGTCTGCATATGGGTTGGGTTGGCCGAAAAGCATGAACAACCCAATCCAATGTTTGCGGTTTGAAATATCTCAACCCGACCCAACCAAGCAAAACTACATTCCAAACCCAAGTCAAACCGTGCGGGTTGGTTGCATTGAAACTTTGATGTATCATTTTACAATCTAGCTAATATGTTTAAACGAAGTAAAATCAAAATGATAACATACAAAAAAGACTAACAAACTCAAAAAGGAAGTTGAAAGTTAATGCAAATAAGAAAGTAAGATTACGATTAATATTGTAATATAATTTTGAATATAGCTAATTATGGATTAGTCTAATGTCTAATGTTTATATGTTAATTATGGACTTAAAAATCATATTAAATCTATAGTATAGAAATCAGGTTCATCGACCTGGGTTGGGTTCAAACAATCCTAACCCAATTCCAACCCAATAGATGCGGGTTTGCCTAGTTTTGTATCAACTATGTATCTGTTAAACCCGGGTTGAGTTTTTTTTTTGGGTTTCTTCGGTTTGCTCGGTATTTTGAGCACCTATAGTGCAACCCATGCGATCACACAGGACATCAAAGGCCAAAGAGGCATCAAGTTTTTATATATTATTAGTTTTGGTTTTTTGGGTTAAATAATTTGAGAACTTGCTCTTTAATTATAAACATAGCCTCACTTGACCAAGATTGGTTATAACAAATCCAAGTTTGAATCGGTGACAATAACGATGTTGGGTTCGAATATGCGCGTTATTGTTGTATTCAAATTCTCCATATTTTACATGCTTTGTAATAGTTTAGCTTTATTCCTTCCTTAGTATAAATAGTAGTTTCCTTTGTAATTGTCATTAGCAAGTCATTAGCAATTCTGTAATCTGAGTTTTAGCATTGTAATTCTCTCTCAATCAATTCAAGAGATATTTGGTGTTCTACTCTCTCTATTCATCTCATTCTTAAAGTTCTTGAAGATCATAATCATTTTGTATGCATTTTGGACATTTCAATTGGTATCAGTGCAAACTGTAGCAGTTTGATTAGAGGATTTAACAATTTGCATGAATTTTTTAGTGGATTGATCGATCTGGGTTTATGATGTTCTTCATCTGTTCATAGTGTTCTTCGTCCAGAATATGTTTTTAGGCTTAAATCGATTGAATTTTGGTTGTTAATTGCTATATTTTGTATCGCTGGATTCACATTTTGATTTAGAACAAGTTTGATTCACACTAATTTTGATTTTAAACAAGTTTTGAACCTGATTTGATCGATATTTGAGTTTTCGACACTCAACAGTTTTCGAAAACTGTTGAGTGTTCTTCAAAATTCAAAATTTTTCATGTTTTGATCCAAATTTTTGGTGAAAAAGTGTGAAATTTGTGTTTTTGCTTGACTTTTAGTCCGATTAACTCTTGATCGATTTAGGTGTTTATCGCTTAAAGCTTGAACGGTTTAATACTTGAAATATTTTGTGAATTGAGTTTG